CAAAGACACAACTGAGAAACTTGAGAAGATCAAATATCGCACACAAGTTAAGAAAGATTCTCCGGTGAATGAAGGAGAGAAAGCTCAATTGAGAAGCGTCGTAGGCAGTCTAGCCTGGATTGCAAGACAAGCAAGACCTGATTTATCATACAAGGTTTCAAAGTTGCAGTCAAAATGCAACAGAGCTACAATCAAAGATCTGGTTTACGCACACCAAGCAATCGATGAAGCCAGAGAACATTCCAATCAAGGAATAACCTACAAGTCAGATGCAATCAATTGGAAGAACTGCAGCATTGTCACAGTTTCAGACGCATCATGGTCCAACGAAGATGAGCAGGTGAAGAAGAAAGTACAGAAGTACAAAAGCCAAAGAGCACGAATGACCATTTTGGTCAACCCTGATTTCCCAAAGAAAGAGGAATCAGCGTTTCACGACTATCATCAGAAGGATCTGCAGAAACACATTACAAGCAGAGACCTATGGCGTCAACTTCGCAATCGGAGAGGGCATGAGACTCCGAGCCCTGATTGCAGATCACTCAAGGACTGGGAAACCAAGAGCAGAAGCTTCCGACAACACATTTGGATCACAGATTGCAAATCGCTGGAAGAACATCTCAAGAGTGATACAATGGGAAAGGTCGATGACAAGCGTTTATCGATCGACATACAAATGCTACGCCAACTCATTGGGGAAGATGCAAACGAAGAAGAACAAGATGAACTGAGAGACGACATGCCGATGTAATTCAATGGATAGATACGAGTAAGATGCTCGTAGATGCACTTACCAAAGACATGAACAGTAGCGAATTGCGACACACTCTGAAAACCGGAGTGTGGAATACAGTTCCATCCCCAGAAGCACAGTTAATTAAGCTCATGAAACAGAAATATCGTCGAGAACGACGAATTCGAGAAGCAGAGGAATTAGCGGTCCCACAAGACCAGAATCACGGGTGAAAATGCACCATGTTTAATGTATAGCTGTCTTGTGCAACCATGTTCAGAGCATGCATGTACAGAGCATACCCTGCACCGCAGTGCGCTTGAGTTCAAACCTGGCAAAAAGTCGCACAACGTATTGGGATGACAAGTTGTTTGCGCGCACGCAACTGGTAGAACCCATGTGCAACTTGGTGACTCAGGGCTGGCCATCCGGCTGCATCGACTTTTGGCAAGTTTCAGCTCGGAGTGACTTCTTGGTTTGCGATCCCACTAAGGGCCCAAAGGGTATTCAATTTGGAGTTTCGGCGTCGGGCGTATATGCTGCATATGCTCCGTCGCGGATCGACATCAGTTATTCTGCAGCTGTATCGAATATTGTTCACAGTATGGGTGCGCGCGCCCATAGATGAGGACGCTTTCTGTTCCGACATTTCCATGCATCCCGCATCATGCTTGCGTTAATCACAATCTGAAAGCGCACCAATTTTGAAATGACCTTGAACTTGGTCGCGAAACTTTCATGGGTAAGCGAGTGAGAGTGCATTCACGGAAAACATCCCCAGATGCAATTTGAAAAGGGTTCCTCATTAGAATGTGTTGTTGCATGGTTTCCTTCGCTCTTCTGACCATTTTGGCAATTTCGGCTTTGCGGAAGCCTGTGGCACAAAACAATGGGACAGGCAGGATCAGAAAAGCCGAGTTGAAGGATTTCTTTTCCATCAAAATGACTTTCATTTCATTGTGTACATTGACATTAGAAAGTGGAAAACAAACACCACCATTTCTGTACAAAAATAAATTGTACAGCTGTTGTGCACCCTAGTTCTGTGCAGCTCATTCATGGCTGGAGACATGCAGGCCTGTGTCCTTTTAACGAGAGCAGCCTTTTGCGAAGTTGTTGAATCAGACGGTTTAATGTGCCCGACTATTCGTGGTTATCATGGTGCTACTGTAGCGGCTAGCGGCCTTTCATAATGAAAACCATACGCACATACTCGTTGGAGGGTACCTTGAAGGTTGGGAGCCGTTGTTATTTTGTAGATTCATTGGTCAAGTTGAAGGGCCAGAACAGGAATGGACCCCATCAAATTCTTATTTAAACTGCAGCATATCATCATGCAAAGGATACCCCCGTACCCTGCCTGAACCTTGGTGGAAGTCAACTTGAAAACCCACGGATTTGGTGTTTGTCCGGCAGTATGATTCTCTTGATATTTTGTTTGATGAACGAAATCTGTTTTTTTAATGACAGCTTTTGGGTGATCGGGATATCTTGTGGTTCCCGAGAGCCCTGCGCTGCACCACCCGGATGGGACCACGGCGAATGAAGGCTCCGAAGGAGGAAACCCTCAGTTTGGGTATGGGTAACGCCGCAAATAAGGCCATTTGGATGGAAACTCCACAACACTCAACTTGCTTTATTCTTGGTTTCTCCTGGTCTACTCTGTTGAAAAACTGTCAGGATGTGATAATTTTAACAGAACTGTAACAAACTGAATAACAAAGGAAGTTTGTCCTCCGATTGCTGTTTATTTTCTCAAGAAACATGTTGGTAAGCAGCAGTTTTGTGTTTTCCCTGAAAATGATGTTTTTGTTTGAGAACTCTGTTCTGGTCAAAATGATAAACTGATTAAAATGTATGTTTAACACGATATAGTTTTACCATGAGTTCCAGTGCCGGTCACAAGTTGTTTATCATTTATCACCAAACCTGAATCTCGCACCCGACCTTGTCTCCATCTTGAATGATCTTCTTCGCTTCCTCTTTGGCTTGTTTCTGAGAAATGATTTTTTGCCTTTCTTTGACTTCGTGCATTTCTTCACATTTTTTTTCTCCTTGCTCTACAGCTTGGAAAAATGTCAGCTGCTGTAAGCTGGAACTGGACGTCTACCAACCTCGAGTCTCGAGTTGACCGATTTGTTTTGTTCTTGGCCTTGTTCCTTGCGTCCAAAACGATCAGTCTTTCGAGAAAAAATCCGAGTTGAAAAACATGGATGAAAAATAGGGTCAGAGGAGTGATTGCCCTATGAAGGCTGGTTTTCAGCCAGGTGCTTTAGTTTCGGGGAAAAGCGCCAAACACAGACGTGTTTTGGACGGTTCAGCATCTCCCTTTTTTTTAAAGGTCGACTAACAAGATCCTTCAAGACAGGGCTATGGTCATTTGAATTCCAAGTTTCCACGCAAAACACTGCTGGACGAATTACAGTAGCTGCATGTAACTGTACTCATTGGGTTTCCTTTTTCGTTCTGACAGTTGCTGTCACCGACTTTATGCACGTTAAATTGTTCGTGGAGAGGATTCCAGTCCACGTTCCACTTGTCTGGCGAAAGCCTTCATTGCCGAGAAACCGCAGTGCGGATCTCGCCTCTCCAGCTTACAACTTCAATAGCGATCGAGCCGAGTGCGCAGAGGACACAGCACTTAGAGTAGGAGCTTTCCAACTGATCCGATTGGACGCCCAGAAGTGGCTCAAGAATACATGTGCGAGAGGACCAGGAAAGAAACTATGATGTTTTCTGCCTCTCTGACGTCATTCCAAGATGCCCAAAGTTCCTTCGGCTTGCTCTTGAACTGTGGGGTTGACATCACGTCTTGCACGCTCCCGACTGCCAGGACTGTTGAATGCTTCGTTTCAGACGCCTGGATGTTGCGGACAGGTTGGAGACCGGGTATATAGATGTTCTTTGCTATGGCTGCAGATCAGATGCAGTAAACACCTGACACATTTCTCAGTTGCTGGACACATCATCATGGCTACTACCAATTCTACAGTGCTTCTGTCACAAATCTTAGATGAATACGTTGTATTTCGGTTTGTTCGCGCCGTCAAGTTTTTCAGACATTTGAAATATGCCAGAAGGTGCAAAATAGGTTCGTATTGCACTCCAGCGTTAACTTATCAGGCCTCATGGACCTTCTACAGCAAAATACCACGATGTCAAACACCTGGCCGTTGCTACGTGCAGGGTTTAAGATGAACCTTGCCCATATGACAAGAGAACCACAATTGCGGCGCCGGAGCTGCCAGGCTACGACTGCCATCAGGTGGAATGGGAATGGATGGAGCTGGATTGAACCCATTTGGGATTCAAGAAGACATGAGGATATCTTCAGCACCGTGGCGATTACTGAATTGAATTTGGAGGTCATCACCAACACCCAAGGGTTCAAAGGTGTTTTTAAGCTCATGGAGGCATTTGAATGATTTGCAGGTTGCACAAAGATGTCCAGTAATGTAAGGAATGCATTAAGTCATTAAGTCCTATGATTTTGCCAAACCTCATTAAGAAACCCCCAATAAAAACCAGTACATCGACGCAGTGACAAACTATCGTTGGTGCACCACTGATTGAACGGGGGCTGATCGTGCACCGGCTATGTCAGGACTGGGGAGCAGACCCCACAAATGTCATCTAATGACGGGGCCTCGCGAACCAAACCAGGAACATGCGATTATTGGGATCTCGAAGTCTTTCGGAATGTCAAATCAAGGGGTTCAGGCTCTCCTTCAGTGCTTACTTTTGCTTCAATCTTTGTTCCAGGAGGCAAAGGTGTATATATTCTGAGATACCTAATTACAGGATGGTGGCTGAAACGCAAACTCCTGAGCGCTTCAAGTTCATCATGGTCAGAGATCATAAGCTTGGGAGCCACACAAATCCACCAATCCATGGCCTATTTGAGATGCTTTCACGGCCCAATATTCACGGCAAATGCATCCGACCTACCATGTCAAGTAGCAGTCAACACTCGTTGCCAGGTGAAGTTGAACTTAGCTACTCCCTGTCTTCTTTGCAGAGGACTACGTAAATACCCGTGAGTTTTCTTTTAAATGTTTTTTTTTTTGCATGGGCATAAATCCTTTGCATGTGGAATCACGCCCAAATCCAAATCTGCCTCAGTCGGGAGATTCTTGAGATTGCGAATCGTAGATGTCTGCTGCTTTGCGCTTGACAAGCTATGAAACCTTGTGAGCTGCATATTCGTATCCTCTTTTCCCGAAGCAGTTGGCACCAGTAGTTTGTGAGAGCTAGAGACAGATTCGCAATGTTGTTCCGCCAGCAATTGGCAAGGAACGTTGCCAATGCCGAGCAGGCTTATAATGCTGAGACACAGCAGATGGTGCAGGCTTGGGCAGCTGAGGTCAAGGAAAAGTTCATGGCAGAATGTGAGGCTGCATCCCACCGCCGGGAGCTTTCATTCACAATGCTGGTTGTCCAACCGGACCACCTGACCCGCAGGCGTGTTGATCACCACCTGTTGATGGCACAGCTCAGGGGCATCCTTGCGGAGTTGGGTTTCGGTTTCAAAGATGGAACTCTTACCGGTTTCCAGAAGGAAGCTATCTTGCAGGCTGACGAGTTTGGCAACCTTCAAGACCTTCATCGCGCCAAGATGACTGGACACTGGGCCGGGAATGAAACGTCTAGGAGTTCTGACCGAGCCAATGGTGGCACCTGGGCACACTGCCCCATCTGCCACGAGAACGGCCCCGCTGTGGTCCTGGTTCCCTGTGGTCATGTGGTCTGCCGGGAGTGCCACCGCTGTCAGCAGCTGCATCAGTGCCCCATGTGCCGAGAGGTGACCACCTCAGTTACCAGAGGTCTCTTTGTGCAGGCGGCTTCTCCTCTACCGGAGGCTTCTCCTCAACCTGATCCTTTTGATGATCCCTGGGCTTCCACGTGGAGAAGGTGGGGACAGGCACCGCCAAGTGAAGTATAGTGACTTCTGCTGCGTGGGGAGGTGGAGTTGATCTCAACAAATCCAACAATGTTTGCCCGACATCTAAGATACCATTGGGTTCTAGGCACAGGGATCTGATGTGATTATCAACTTCACTTCGTGAAATCCGATGCTAGTCCTTTTCAAGCATCCAAGTCGGTGCCCAACAGCGGTGCTCGACCTTGGAAGCAGTGATCACCTGTGAAGAGTAAAACGAAGGACGCGTGCTTCGTTGCGATTTATTCATGTACCAGGCGATGGGGGATGAGATTCGACAAACTGGTGTTGCTGGAGCTTGTTTTTAGTTTCTGGTAACTCGATGTACAATGGTGGAAGTGGCTGCCTGACTCGGCTTTATTTTTCCGCCGGACTTTGTAAAAAAATGATAAACTTTGCCAGACTTGCTGTCATCCGCCTGATTCTTTCTGCAAGAGTGTTCTTTCTCCATGGGGTGCATGACTTGATGAATATCAGCCTAGTTCCCTTGGCAACCAGAAAGTGAAAATGTCAATGCTAGTGGGACCTATTGAACTTTGCATCAATGTGTCCGAAATCCATGTTGGGTGTGCAGTTTGTTGCTCCTAGCAGAGAAAATCTAGTCGGCATCGCCCTCCAAGCCCTGCTTTGACCCCTGACTTGGAGATGGCCTTTGCTCAGAAGTTGGCAAGAAACGTCAACGCCTACGGTGCCGAAACGCAGCAACTGATGCAAGAGGCGGTTGCTACGAAAAAGAGCTACTTCATGCAACACTGTGAACGCGCATCCAAGGAGGGGAAGTATTCTTTCACTGGCAACTTTGAAGTTGAGGGAAAGGTAGTGAATAGGCAGGATTACAGCCGTGAAAAAATGCGGGACCTACTCAAAGAGGGCCTGGCAGATCTGGGGCTCCAACGCTTTGATGTCAAGCATTTGCACGGCGGTGCAAATTTTGAAATGAGTGCCACATGGACAGCAGATGCTGAGACTTCCCGCAAGGGGGAGAGCATCAACCCTTGCTCCGGTGGTACCTGCGTGACGTGTCCCATCTGTCACGAGCATCGCCCAGCCGTGGTCCTGGTGCCCTGCGGACATGTGGTCTGCCGCGACTGCCATCGTTCCAAACAGCTGCGCCAGTGCCCCATGTGCCGCAAGGTGATCACTTCGGCCACCCAAGGGCTCTTCATGGATTGAGGCATTGGCTGCGGATGTTGGTTGCTAGGCACCTGGCCTTGGTGGGCTGAATCTTCTTATCTTCTTGGATGAGAGGATCCTGCCTGGCACATGGCAGGAACATGTGCCTCACTTTTTGATCTTTGAGACATTTGGCTCTGGCCTTTGCGAGATGGATGCCAGATGCTTCTTTGATGCCAGACAGTGAGTGGCATAGCAGTTTTGGATCCTCAACAACTCGGGGTATGAGGCCCTCTCGGTCCTCTCGGTTTCAAGCTGGATGTTTGTGATCTCTTGTGCCCCCACAGAGAGAGGGGCGTGGCAGCTTACCCGAACAGTGAGTGTGAATTTGACTTTCAAGCATCCTTTCCACAACCTTATTTTCAGTTTTATTTGCAAAAGGAACATTTGATTTCTGGTGCCTACTTCATTTCTGATTTGGCTTGTGCTGATTGCAAAGTTTGAAAAAAAGTGCTAAGAATGTACCTCAATGATCAGTTGCTCCTTCCGAAACAGTCGGATGCTAGAAAGTCCCAGTCCTTTTTAACCATCCGAGTTGATGCCCAAAAGCGGTGTTCGATCTTGCCACAGAGATCACAGGTGAAAGGTTGAAAACAAAGGTTGGGTTCGGCTCGTGGGATCGATGCAATTGGTCCAGTTGTGGTTTGAAGGGTGTTTTTTATTTTTTGATGAGTTTCGGACAAATTTCTCGGCAAAGTCGAGACTTGTCGTCTGGGAGTGGAGGGACTTCACCGTTTCGAATCATTTTCTGCGGATGGCATTCCCAGCTCGCCAGGACCATCTGATGGAGTTGTTGGCCTCAGGCCACCTGAAGGCACGGGGATGGGGAGCAGACGCCTACGCCGTACATGCCAATTCCTTACCAATTGCAGCAGCACTGTCTGGGTTCTACATGGTCAGTGGTGACCGATCCAGCACGAAGACAATTTCAAGAAATGTTTCAGTCTGCTGTGTTTACTGTACATGGTGGACCGAATCATATGCCAGCAACCAGCGGCAGGCGAAGTGGACTTCTGCCATTGATGTTCTCTGAGTTGCAGGCGAAGCATTTTGGGTTCAGCTCGCGCGACTTGCGCACGGATCCATGTGTGTGTGTGTGTGAACCATCTGTAAAGATGTAAAACTTCTAACTTAGCAGGGGGGCAGTGCACGACTGACAGACACTGCCCAACGAAGACACTGTCAGTTCGTGGTGATACAGAGCCTGATCAGCTCTGCGTACCTGCATCAATTTATCATTTCTCTGAATGGCAACCGGCTAAGCCAAGTACCGGCATGCGTTGTTTCCAACAGTTTTCAATCCACTGTACGGTTTTCGCAATCTGAATTACTGCCGACTTCGTCAGATGGATTTGTTGCATCTAGCAAGGACGTAGAAAGAATTCTTCTACACTGTTTCTCACGCCTAGTCATTCACCAATTCCTGTCAGGTTTAATTGAGGTGTTTTTGCACGTTCGATGCATTCCACATCAGCAATTCGATAAGATATTTCTGAGCAAGTGTGTCTCTCCTGCTGCTTACGTCATGTTGGCAGGAACCCTTCGGGGAAAGCCTTTCTAGGCTAACAATGGACAGTAAAACGATGTCTGAATTTACACTTTTGAATTAGTAATTCGTCTAAGTAAAGTGAACTGCTTGCCATTTTTCGTTTTTCACCCTGTCGATCGTCAAGTGTTGAACAACTGGCCGCCGTGCCTGGCTTCACCTTTCTTTTGTCTGAATTGACACTTTTGAATTGGTAATTCGTCTAAGTAATGTGAAACTGCCGGCCTTTTTTCCAGGTCTCACCTGTCGACGTCGATGTGTTGAACAACGTGCCGCTGTGCCTGGCTTCACCTTTTCTTTCATGATCAGGCAACAGGACATGCTTGCAGGTATGGTGGCCTTTTCTTTTTTTTGGTCGTTGGTGAGGTTCAATTGTGCACCTAATTCAGGGGTTGAACACGTAAGCCGTCCATAGGGTTGTGACTTGAATGCCGAGGGCCTTTGAGCCTTATCACGAATTTTTGCATGCGTTGTGGATGCATCATTTCATTAACTAGTTCCCCATGGGTCCCTTATTTCATGTGTTCCTGCGTTCTCCTCTCTCCAGGTAGGTTTGGCCCGTCGCGTGCTGAGGTTCTTGTAGGTTTTCGCCGTGTCAGGTTTGTTCAGGCGCTTCTGTCTTCCCCCTCCTCCGCTGGTCTTGTTCCGGTTTCCGTCGGCCTCCGCTTTTCTTTTCCCTTGCCTTTCCAGGGTTGCCCGTTGCGGGCTAGGTTTCATGTGTTGGTGTTTTCTCTTTCCCTCTTCTTTTGCGTTCCCCTCTTTGCGTCCTGGTTAAGTATCTTTCATCTCATTGTCATCTTCACCTCATCTTCATTTCCCTTCCTCTTCATTTTCATCTCATTGTCGGGACCTTAATTTCCCACCCTCCTGCGGGAGGGTGTGTGTGAACCATCTGTAAAGATGTAAAACTTCTAACTTAGCAGGGGGGCAGTGCACGACTGACAGACACTGCCCAACGAAGACACTGTCAGTTCGTGGTGATACAGAGCCTGATCAGCTCTGCGTACCTGCATCAATTTATCATTTCTCTGAATGGCAACCGGCTAAGCCAAGTACCGGCATGTTGTTTCCAACAGTTTTCAATCCACTGTACGGTTTTCGCAATCTGAATTACTGCCGACTTCGTCAGATGGAATAGTTGCATCTAGCAACGTAGAAAGAACTCTTCTACACTGTTTCTCACGCCTAGTCATTCACCAATTCCTGTCAGGTTTAATTGAGGTGTTTTTGCACGTTCGATGCATTCCACATCAGCAATTCGATAAGATATTTCTGAGCAAGTGTGTGTTAAACTGGAAGGCAAGCCGACAAATCATTGGTTTTACTCTTGCATAGCAGGTCATCGTATAGGTTTATCTAAAATGTTTGATAATTTATATTCATTTTGACTTGTACATAGAAGTGGGTTGTTTGCAACATGTGATATGCCACCATGTCAGCCAAATCATAAGGATTCTTGGAGTTGATGGCTTGGCCTCGACCACCACTTTTTGCGAAGCGGCGTGCCATGATGCAACTGTGCAGGGCGTGCCTCGTTCACTTCATGATGTGATTCCCTAACTTTTCACGGCGCATCTAAATGCAAGTGTGCTGGGCGTGTCTCGTTGAGTTCATGGTTTGATTTGTTGACCTAATACGGCGCATCTAAATGCAACTGTGCTGGGCGTGTTTCGTTACCTTCATGGCATGATTCGTTAAATTATATAGAACGGCGCATCTAGGTCTGCTACCGGGTGCCTGGGGGGTGGGGTCGCGCTGACACGGATGACGTTGTGCGGATGGGGTATGACAGAATGCAATAGTATATGTCAGTTAGAATGAAAATGATTGGAATGTCAGATAGAATGCCACAGAGAAGATTGCAATATATATATATATATAATATGTCAGATACGTGTCTCGTGCACTTCATGGTATGATTCGTTAATTTCTTACGGCGTGTCATAATGCGACACAGTGTATACATGACCATCTTGAGCAGCATGTAACAGATCTTCAGTTTCTCAATTTGTTATTCTATGAAACATTGGCCGCGGCGTTGTCCGGAAAAATTTGGCAGCTTCCTTCAGTGCTGCGGACTGAGGGGTCCAATCCCTAAGAAGATCCAAAATAGCTAGTGGAAAGAATCGTTTCCCTGACGGGGTTTCTCTTGATATGGTTGGTGCGTCAGACCCGAGTTCAATACCCGGGTGCAACACTAGGCGGACAGGCGGGCCACTACCCCACCCCTGCAGCTAAGGGGATGAGCTAGGGTGTGGTCCGTAAAAGCAGTCACTCTTGATATGGTTGGATTTGAAGGGGCTGTCCCCCCCCCAAATAAACCCTAAATGGCTGGTGTGAGCATACGGATGACCAAGGCAAGAGAGGAGTAAAAGCCCTTAGAGGATGGACGCAGAACAATAAGGTGCGCTGCTGGTCGATGATTATTAGGAGTCGGTTTCACTATGAAGCAATTGGCTGAGTCAAGATCACGAGTTTCAAAACACCCGAAAATATGGTTATGTCCAAAAACATGGTGCACATGCGCGCGCACACATTTACATCCCAACATTGCAATTTGACACGGGGCGAAACTGTGGTCATAGTGTATATATATATATATTTTCTTCCTGTGTGTGTATTATATTTTGTACTGTTTTTTTTTGGGTTCCCTCTTTTGGCCGCACTAAATTTCGGGGGATCAAACAGATACATACAAGATGACACAACTATTTTCTGGGGATCATGCCCCGTGCACTACCGTGCACTAAGGCCTTGATTCGAGGTCCGTCGGATCCGTGATCCTAGCGGTTGCCGTTCGGGACCCGCCCACGCTTTGAGGTCATAGACCGAGAGGATCAAAACGGAACGCAGGATTTTTCCCATGGACAAAACAAGATACTTTGTAAATTTTGTGATTAGTTTGCTTGAGTCCTGTGGGCTATTCGCTTTGAAACATCAAGCGGGTTCACGGGCGAGGCTGGGGGACAATATGAACATTGTGACGACTCTGGGAGGACATATGTTGTTGCTGCGACCAGAAGTCTGGAGAAGTGTGATTGTTTTTTATTTCTGGCAACATTTTTTATCTTGGTGTCATCCAAGTAGCAGCAATTTTGAGCTCTTCTCGGCTCAATCTTCATGTTCAGTATTGTATCTTGTGTCCCTGAATGTTTTCTTCCGCCCGTGCTCGTGTGGTCCTGATCATCCTGATTCTATGTTTTAGTGCCAGTGCATGGCTGGGCATTTACACGAATCCACATGGTCAGACTCGATTTATGAAATACTTCGCCGCCCCGGCCGGCAACGCCACAGCCACAGTTGGTGGTAGACCAATCCCGAGTTTTGGCAACGCAACAAAACCGACAGACCTCGCTGCCGCAGAGCCATTAATACCATCGACCTGCGGATGGAAGGCCCCTTATGCCTGCGGCTGCGCGGATGACGACAATGACATTGCGACCATGCGCCGAATACTTTGGAATCAAACAGCTTTGGAGTTGCTGAACGCTGGGCTTAGCCAGCCAAAGTACGAAAAACATAGCAACTACACGTTCCTACAAGTGCATGAGGCGGGCTTTGAAGAGCTTCGCCGTAGGTTTGCTGTTTTTTTTGAAAATCAAGCGGCATCCAATATTTTGTGTGAACACGTTGTCATCAAGGTGAGTATTTTTCCCAAAACGCAACTTTCGCGGCGCAGAATTCATGATGTGGAAACTAAGATAGGTGACACTTACACAGGCCCCAGAGGCTGCGGAATCTACGTCTTGAGCGATTGGCAGATTGCAGCTATGAAGAGAACAAATGTAAATGGTTGGAATACCCTGGCATTTCCCACCGATGATTTCGTTTCAAACCTGACAAAGATTGGGAACGAGTCGGAAGCAAACGGGCTCTCCAACGAGCTTCAGCGCTTCTTCAATATTCTCAAGATCACTGTGGGTTTCCTTGTCCCTTCGAGCGTCAACAAAGTCACCTTTGGTGATTGGAAGTGCAACGTGGTGGGTTTCCACCAAGACTCTGAACGGTCCAACAGGAGCAACATCAGTGACTTTGAGGTGGTTAGGCATCGTAAAAATTTCAACAAGAGTCTTGAGTCTGAGTGGATTGATAATCATGGACGTGTGTTTTCAAGACACGAGTGGGCAGCCCTCCGAGACATTGAGAGGCTGAAGTTATTTTTAGGCCCTAACGTGATAAAGCGCACTGTAAACATGTCTGACATTATGTGTACAACATGGCATCTAGGACGGAAAAGACAAGCTCTGGCACGCTTTGCCTTGAGATGGTTTTGGTATACTGCTGCTTTTACAATGCGGCCCCAACTGACTTACAACTTGGCTTTGTTTGATTGTGGAGAAAGCTTGGCTGTGAATTACCCGAAACAAACCTGGTATTGTGGCTTCTGAAGAACATCATCTCTGCCGACACGGAGCTCCACGGCGGGTTCCAACTGCCGTGAAATGACACATGATAATTTGTTTTCTAGGTGCCTTCCAGCTGCCATTTGAGCTGCTTTCAAAGATTCAATTCAAAGCAGGTAAGCACGTGGTCAAAAGCTGAGGCTTCATGTGGGTCCTTTGGTCTTGGTTTGCTGGCGAACCTTCTGCTCATGTTCAATAGGAGCCAATGGAAAAAGCCCAGAGATGGGATGAGATTGGATTGATTGTAGATGGGTCCGTAGGTGACAAACCATGTCGAATCTGAATGGCCCTGGCAACCAGGCCAGGATGTGATGTGGAGTTTCTTTCGTTGAGAGGAAGTCAAGCTTTTTTCTTGCACCAATCTATACTGGTTGGTGGTTTGGAACACGTTTTATTTTCCATTTCATATGGGGTGAACCAGTCAACTGAGGTGGACCCGGGAATTTGGCGCTTTGCGAAGGCGCTTTATTTTTGGGGCAGTTTTAAACGCCCTGATACGCAGCCAGAAGCATCCTCAAAAAGGGAGAAAACCCAGGCATCCAGACAGATCCCTACAGAACCCTACCATTCTTATCCAATGGGTCTGGAGAGAAGGGTTGCATGGACTTACAAACCGAAAAACATAGGGTGTCATTTCCGGCAAACTTTCCTTGCAGATCTTTTCGCTGCAGATCGTGGTGCTAGCTTCAATGTTCCACGCAGAACAATTCAAAACTTATGATGATCCCGATCCAATTCAAACTCCTTCAAGATACATAGGATGATTGACATCACCAGCAAACATGATTCCAAAACAAGTTCGAAACCTACCGGTCACTTATTCGGGTAGAGGATGTGGAAGGTAGACGATAGAGATATCTTTGTTGTTCTGGATGAGTTAAATCGTGTTAGCAGTTGCCCTGTTTCCATATGGCAGCACATCAACTGTTGCTCTTGTCTTGGTCTTGGTCAAGAAGATCCCAGTGGCAGGTTCTCTCCAACGAACATCACAACATGGCGTCGTAGTTCGCGCGCAAGCCTCCTGGAGGATGCAGATCGTTCTCAGCCCTCTTTGGATGTGGCAGATTGCTGGAACATTGGGAAGCAAGATTTGAAGATGAAATAATGGTGACGAAAATGCCATTTCTTCTTTTGTCACTGGAGAAGTTATGATAAACCATGGGACGTTCGAAGTCACAGAGATCTCCAAGTTTGTGGATGGCTCATAGAAGGATTCCCTTGAGGGGCGACAACTGGTTGGTGACTTCGCCATCGAAGGATTTTTCTTTAGCCATGAAGCAGAAGGCCGATGTCAAAGTAAACGCTTGCCATATCTTACTTCAAATCCAACTGAGATGGCGTCAAAGGCGGAAGGCTGATGAGTTTTGGACAAATTTCTCGGCAAAGTCGAGACTCATCGCCTGGGAGTGGAGCGGTTTTACCTTTTTCGAATCATGTCTGGGGATGGCATTCCCAGCTCGCCTCCAGGAAGGAGGAGTTTGGCGCGTGAGACATTTGGTAAGGTGAGGACGGACAGATTCAACGTGTCCTGTTGCCAGTGCATGTAGCCAGATTCAACGAATGTCCAAAAATTTGTGCACCAGTTGCATGACATACGTGCTGCATGTATTCTGGAGACAAATCTTGTAGAAACTTGTTGAACCTTGAAGCTAGAGTAACGTTTTAAGCAGCAGTTGAAGTCGGAGTTTTCATTTGATGTTCTACACTCAAGTCTTCAGCTTTTAGATGCTGCGCCTGACGCATTGGATTTTCATGTATTCTCTGCCTTTTCATGGCAGCTTGGCCTTGTGCAAGTCCAGGGCGTTGCTATGCCGCTAATTATGATTTGCCTTTGCAGTTCCTTGTGCCAGGAAATTCGGAGTTCCAGATTTGAAGCATTGAGGCAGACTGTTGATCTTTTTTGATGCTAGTGAATGGAGCCCGGATTTCAACACACACACAGACTTGTGTACCAGTTGTACAGCATAGTTACTCTGACAAATCTTGCACATGTTGAAGATTGGAAGAAGAATGAAAACAGGTTCCAGGTTCAAGTTGGGCTGTGAGTCAGTTTTTATGTCAATGTGATGTCCAACTGTTTTGGTAATTTGACTCCAGATTTCCACCTCTTTCGGTCGTCCCTATTGAAAACGAATGAAAACGATATACGGTAGGATAATTGTTTCTTGTTGTGCGTTACAGATTTTCAGTCTACCTTCCCTCGCCAAGTAAACCATGCCATGGGCATGTCTCTTTTGCAGGTGGGTGTAGTCGCAGCCAGTGGCTACAGAGGAGCCATGGCAACGACTATATATTATATATATATGTTTTTCTTCCTGTGTGTGTATTATATTTTGTACTGTTTTTTTTTGGGTTCCCTCTTTTGGCCGCGCTAAATTTCGGGGGATCAAACCGATACATACAAGATGACACAACTATTTTCTGGGGATCATGCCCCGTGCACTACCGTGCACTAAGGCCTTGATTCGAGGTCCGTCGGATCCGTGATCCTAGCGGTTGCCGTTCGGGACCCGCCCACGCTTTGAGGTCATAGACCGAGAGATCAAAACGGAACGCAGGATTTTCCCCATGGACAAAACAAGATACTTTGTAAATTTTGTGATTAGTTTGCTTGAGTCCTGTGGGCTATTCGCTTTGAAACATCAAGCGGGTTCACGGGCGAGGCTGGGGGACAATATGAACATTGTGACGACTCTGGGAGGACATATGTTGTTGCTGCGACCAGAAGTCTGGAGAAGTGTGATGTTTTTTTTATTTCTGGCAACATTTTTTATCTTGGTGTCATCCAAGTAGCAGCAATTTTGAGCTCTTCTCGGCTCAATCTTCATGTTCAGTATTGTATCTTGTGTCCCTGAATGTTTTCTTCCGCCCGTGCTCGTGTGGTCCTGATCATCCTGATTCTATGTTTTAGTGCCAGTGCATGGCTGGGCATTTACACGAATCCACATGGTCAGACTCGATTTGTGAAATACTTTGCCGCACTGGTTGGCAACGCCACAGCCACAGTTGGTGGTAGACCAATCCCGAGTTTTGGCAACGCAACAAAACCGACAGACCTCGCTGCCGCAGAGCCATTAATACCATCGACCTGCGGATGGAAGGCCCCTTATGCCTGCGGCTGCGCGGATGACGACAATGACATTGCGACCATGCGCCGAATACTTTGGAATCAAACAACTTTGGAGTTGCTGAACGCTGGGCTTAGCCAGCCAAAGTACGAAAAACATAGCAACTACACGTTCCTACAAGTGCATGAGGCGGGCTTTGAAGAGCTTCGCCGTAGGTTTGCTGTTTTTTTTGAAAATCAAGCGGCATCCAATATTTTGTGTGAACACGTTGTCATCAAGGTGAGTATTTTTCCCAAAACGCAACTTTCGCGGCGCAGAATTCATGATGTGGAAACTAAGATAGTTGACACTTACACAGGCCCCAGAGGCTGCGGAATCTACGTCTTGAGCGATTGGCAGATTGCAGCTATGAAGAGAACAAATGTAAATGGTTGGAATACCGTGGCATTTCCCACCGATGATTTCGTTTCAAACCTGACAAAGATTGGGAACGAGTCGGAAGCAAACGGGCTCTCCAACGAGCTTCAACGCTTCTTCAATATTATCAAGATCACCGTGGGTTTCCTTGTCCCTTCGAGCGTCAACAAAGTCACCTTTGGTGATTGGAAGTGCAACGTGGTGGGTTTCCACCAAGACTCTGAACGGTCCAACAGGAGCAACATCAGTGACTTTGAGGTGGTTAGGCATCGTAAAAATTTCAACAAGAGTCTTGAGTCTGAGTGGATTGATAATCATGGACGTGTGTTTTCAAGACACGAGTGGGCAGCCCTCCGAGACATTGAGAGGCTGAAGTTATTTTTAGGCCCTAACGTGATAAAGCGCACTGTAAACATGTCTGACATTATGTGTACAACATGGCATCTAGGACGGAAAAGACAAGCTCTGGCACGCTTTGCCTTGAGATGGTTTTGGTATACTGCTGCTTTTACAATGCGGCCCCAACTGACTTACAACTTGGCTTTGTTTGATTGTGGAGAAAGCTTGGCTGTGAATTACCCGAAACAAACCTGGTATTGTGGCTTCTGAAGAACATCATCTCTGCCGACACGGAGCTCCACGGCGGGTTCCAACTGCCGTGAAATGACACATGATAATTTGTTTTCTAGGTGCCTTCCAGCTGCCACTTGAGCTGCTTTCAAAGATTCAATTCAAAGCAGGTAAGCACGTGGTCAAAAGCTGAGGCTTCATGTGGGTCCTTTGGTCTTGGTTTGCTGGCGAACCTTCTGCTCATGTTCAATAGGAGCCAATGGAAAAAGCCCAGAGATGGGATGAGATTGGATTGATTGTAGATGGGTCCGTAGGTGACAAACCATGTCAAATCTGAATGGCCCTGGCAACCAGGCCAGGATGTGATGTGGAGTTTCTTTCGTTGAGAGGAAGTCAAGCTTTTTTCTTGCACCAATCTATACTGGTTGGTGGTTTGGAACACGTTTTATTTTCCATTTCATATGGGGTGAACCAGTCAACTGAGGTGGACCCGGGAATTTGGCGCTTTGCGAAGGCGCTTTATTTTTGGGGCAGTTTTAAACGCCCTGATATGCAGCCAGAAGCATCCTCAAAAAGGGAGAAAACCCAGGCATTCAGACAGATCCCTACAGAACCCTACCATTCTTATCCAATGGGTCTGGAGAGAAGGGTTGCATGGACTTACAAACCGAAAAACATAGGGTGTCATTTCCGGCAAACTTTCCTTGCAGATCTTTTCGCTGCAGATTGTGTGCTAGCTTCAATGTTCCACGCAGAACAATTCAAAACTTATGATGATCCCGATCCAATTCAAACTCCTTCAAGATACATAGGATGATTGACATCACCAGCAAACATGATTCCAAAACAAGTTCGAAACCTACTGTACCGGTCACTTATTCGGGTAGAGGATGTGGAAGGTAGACGATAGAGATATCTTTGTTGTTCTGGATGAGTTAAATCGTGTTAGCAGTTGCCCTGTTTCCATATGGCAGCACATCAACTGTTGCTCTTGTCTTGGTCTTGGTCAAGAAGATCCCAGTGGCAGGTTCTCTCCAACGAACATCACAACATGGCGTCGTAGTTCGCGCGCAAGCCTCCTGGAGGATGCAGATCGTTCTCAGCCCTCTTTGGATGTGGCAGATTGCTGGAACATTGGGAACCAAGATTTGAAGATGAAATAATGGTGACAAAAATATACAAAAATGCCATTTCTTCTTTTGTCACTGGAGAAGTTATGATAAACCATGGGACGTTCGAAGTCACAGAGATCTCCAAGTTTGTGGATGGCTCAACATAGAAGGATTCCCTTGAGGGGCGACAACTGGTTGGTGACATCGCCATCGAAGGATTTTTCTTTAGCCATGAAGCAGAAGGCCGATGTCAAAGTAAACGCTTGCCATACCCTCTGGTAATTTAACATAGCTATGGAAAATCACCATTTTCAATGGGAAAATCCACTATAAATGGCCATTTTCAATAGCTATGTTAGTCATTACCAGAGGGTACTTCAAATCCAACTGAGATGGCGTCGGCGGAAGGCTGATGAGTTTTGGGGCATTCCCAGCTCGCCTCCATGACGGAGGAGTAAACGGCGCGTGAGACATTTGGTGAGGACGGACAGATTCAACGTGTCCTGTTGCCATGTAGCCAGATTCAACGAATGTCCAAAGATTTGTGCACCAGTTGCATGACATACGTGCTGCATGTATTCTGGAGACAAATCTTGTAGAAACTTGTTGAACCTTGAAGCTAGAGTAACGTTTTAAGCAGCAGTTGAAGTCGGAGTTTTCATTTGATGTTCTACACTCAAGTCTTCAGCTTTTAGTTGCTGCGCCTGACGCATTGGATTTTCATGTATTCTCTGCCTTTTCATGGCAGCTTGGCCTTGTGCAAGTCCAGGGCGTTGCTATGCCGCTAATTATGATTTGCCTTTGCAGTTCCTTGTGCCAGGAAATTCGGAGTTCCAGATTTGAAGCATTGAGGCAGACTGTTGATCTTTTTTGATGCTAGTGAATGGAGCCCGGATTTCAACACACACACAGACTTGTGTACCAGTTGTACAGCATAGTTACTCTGACAAATCTTGCACATGTTGAAGATTGGAAGAAGAATGAAAACAGGTTCCAGGTTCAAGTTGGGCTGTGAGTCAGTTTTTATGTCAATGTGATGTCCAACTGTTTTGGTAATTTGACTCCAGATTTCCACCTCTTTCGGTCGTCCCTATTGAAAACGAATGAAAACGATATACGGTAGGATATATAATTGTTTCTTGTTGTGCGTTACAGATTTTCAGTCTACCTTCCCCCGCCAAGTAAACCATGCCATGGGCATGTCTCTTTTGCAGGTGGGTGTAGTCGCAGCCAGTGGCTACAGAGGAGCCATGGCAACGACTACCCACTACCCTGGAAGAGAATCTCGAGAGCGCTTTCTTGAAGGTGATTGACAGTGAAACCCAAGTAACCCCAAGTACTGGATATGGAAACATGTTACCCCGCATCAATTCTGGTGTTTCCTGATTGGTTATCCTAATGCATGTTGTGGGCCAGACTCAAAGCCATGGAAGTGATCCAACATGGAAAATCATCACTTGGAGACAGGCTCTTCCGGGCTCTTTATGCCACTATTGCATCACCTTCGGGTCATTATGTAATATTATAATAGATTCTAATAGATGTATATGTTTATTATTTACTTTGGATGAGAATCCAGAGGGTTTGGAGTTTAAATTTGAAACCCAGCGGTCCTGCTGGTTATTTTTTCTCAGTTGATGGCCCAGGTTGCCCATTCGCACTACAGGGGTTCTGGTTACATCAACTGGAGTTGGAGATAGCCTTTGTGGATGATTCGCCAAAATTGGATTTTTGTCTTCCCCAACACCGATGAAAAAAGATCCAAGCTGAGATAAACATCATGACTATCTCCATCAAACAGGTGGGAGTTGACGGGTTGACTTGTCATGTCAGGACTGGAAAGCGCTTGCGAGTGGCCTGAGCTTAGCGAAGGCTCAGCTTGAGGCAGGGGGCCCACCGATGTGGCCAGCATGTGCAACAGTAACATGACATAGCTTGAGGTCTCTTAGAATCTTGACGTCTTGTTTGATGATGTTGGATATGAACAATGATTCAGCGTTTCCTCTCTGTGACACTGCCATGTATTCAATCGTAGGTGCAACCCAAGATCACACACACACCCACACACCAGTACACACGTCACCGAGGCATGGACTTACTACTTTGCTTTCCTCGAACACCCACTTTTCACTTTTCAATTTTGCAACACTGTTAGAAAGGGCAAGGGTTGTGTTGGAAGACGCTATGGGCTATGCACCTAAAAATTGGAAGGGTGCAAGACATACCAAACACACCAAGCAGTACTAAACTATTAGAACGTATTGAGTATGTTCCTGTTTTCTCGCTCCCAGGTGTAACCACTCTCAACTGCCAGCCGGGACTTCGCCGTTGCTTCAAAGAAAGGAGTGACAAGGGTTTGGGTTTCCAACTGGTCAACTGAGGAATTCGCAAAGGTCCATGTTGCTTGAAGAGGCAACTAAACAAAACATTGGTTGCTTTGGGAGGTTGTTGTTGAGATTTGGAATGGCAAATGGGTCTCCAGCTTGAAGCACTGAATCGCATGTATGCTGCATTTGTTTGCGAAACAATTGCCACCAGCACCTCTGAGAAGGCTAGACTAGACTTGTCGTAAACAGCATCGCCGGAGCAGCTCATTCGTCATGTCGTTCTGTCAGCGGTTGGCAAGGAAGACTGTCAATGTCCAGCAGGCGTATGATATGGAGACCCAGCAGATGCTACAGCTTTGGGTGACTGGGATCAAGGAGAAGTTCATCCAGGTATGCGAAGCTGCAGCGGATCGGCGTCAGTTTTCCTGCAGCATGGCGCTTCCACGTAATCCGGAGCTGTTCAGGCGCGTTGGACCGGATCTCTTCCAACAGCAGCTCCACGGCATGCTGACGGAACTGGGCTTCAAAGATCCAATCGTTAATGTCTACGGCGATTGCACTGGAGCAATAGATGCAAAATGGACCGCTGACGATGCGACCTCCACCAGCCCTGAGCGTAGCACCAAAGCCGCAAGCGGCACCTGCGTGACGTGTCCCATTTGTCACGAGCACCGCCCAGCTGTGGCCTTGGTGCCCTGTGGCCACGTGGTTTGCCGCGACTGCCAACGTTGCCAGCAGCTGCGCCAGTGCCCCATGTGCCGCAAGGTCATCACATCAGCAACTGAAGGTCTCTTCATGGACTGAGGCCATCTGCTGATGGTGGCTGGCACCTGGCCTTGGTGGGCTGGATTTTCTTGGATGAGATGATCCCGCCTAGCTCGTGGCAGTGAAAGGTGCTTCACTTTTTTCAAGATGGATGCTGCATGCTCTTTTGATGCCCGACAGTGAGTGGCACAGCAGTTTTGGATACTCGGAAGTCGAGGTGTGAAGCTCGCCCCTGTATGCCTCGTGATCTTGAATGCCCCGACAGTGAGAGGGGCGTGGCAGCTTCCATGAACAGGTAGTGCGGATTTGATTTTTGAAGCATCCCTCCCACAACCTCTTCTTTAGACTGTTTTTTTAGCGAAGCGTATGGATTCCATTTCTGATGTCTGGTTTGTGGTGATCACAAAAGAAGTGGGAAGATGTGGGAAGGATGTGCCTGACCTCAGTGATCGGCTTCTCTTCCTAAATAGTCGGATGCTAGAAAGGCGCAGTCCTTTTTCACCATCTGAACCAATGCCCAAAAGCGGTGTTCGACCTTAGCAGCAGTGATCACAGCTGATCACATTTGGCAAAACAACAGGCAGCTCGTGGGGTCAATGCGATTCCAGCTGTAAGTCCAACGTAGAGGGTGCAGGGGCTTCACCTTCCAAATCATATCTGGGGATTCTGATGGCCAAACGCGCCGCCAGGACCATTTGGTGCACCTGCTGGCAGGCCTTAGGCCACCGGAAGGCAGGGAGAGGGAGCAGACACCTTCGGCAATAGACATTTCAACGTATTCCAAAACCTTCCCACTTGCAGTGTGGCTGTGTGGATTCTATATGGGCCATGGTGA